TCCTCCCCGATCCTCGTCCTCCTCCTCTTCCTCCTCCTCCTCCTCTGGAGCCTCTGGGGCCTCGGAGTCTCCCGCTGCGCAAGACGCACGGTATCACAAAGCCCTTGAGACCACGTGCGATGCCATGGCAGAGTAAAGGAAACAAAGCATACCGTCGCCGCGACCTCACACAGAAGACGACCCCGACGAAGGCCGAGAACATGTAGCCGAACATGTAAGGACGCCCACCTGCATCAGGAAGATGACGAAGGAATTGTCAGTGCAGCTCACGCCATAAACAAATAATCAATAGTCACAAACCAGATACCCACCAGCGAAAGCGGCCTCCAGCCTTGCAGCATGCTTTGACGATGGACTTTGCTGGCTTCGCCTTCGCGATGACGACTGTGCCCTTCCTTTTCCTGCCATGCTGGTCCGAGTGCTAGCAAGACCAGCTTCCACTCGAACGGCAGCGGCTTAAATCGGCTCCTCCTCGTCCTCCTCCTGGCGTTGAGATCCCCCACGGTCTGGGAGTGCATCTGCTGGACAATCGACTCGCCGTCAGCAGTCAGCTGCCCTCCGTGACACGGCACGTCCAGCGGCGGGCTCTTGGCCCCGCCCACCCCTCATAACCTTCGGCCAGGGCGGGGGGTGGGCGCACCGGGTCGGATACGCAGGTGCTCCGCCGTTATGCAATAAGAGAAGACCGTTGTGCCGCACGTGCATACGAGGCCCTCCCCGAACTCCAAGAGCGGTTTCTCCGGCAACGCCTCCCAGCGCCCAGCGCCCGGGACGAACGCAGCAGCTTCTGCCCACAGCTTGCCCCGTGTTGCCACACGACACTGTTCGCGTCACTCTTGTGCGTCCAGTCTGGGCGAGCTGGGCGACGATGTGATCGCAAACTGGAGAGGGACTTGACATCCTCGGACACGCTTGCTTGTCTGGCATTGCCTGCTTGCCGAAGTGAATCGGTTTAGCTGGCAAGATGGCCGAACAGTGCCTCGCCTTGTCATCATCCTTCTTGACACGCATATATTGTTTGTGCTCTCCAGGCGGCAATTGAAAGAGGTGAGCCACGTTCCGCTGAGCCTCGCCCATATTGTGGCTGTGATGCCCCTGCTGGGCATTGAGCTCCCAATGCAGCAACAACGACTTACCGAGCTTGTTGAGGCGATCGCTGAGCATACTAAGCAACACCTCTGGAGCCACCAACGAACGAATCGAGAGGCAAACTGCCTCGTCGAGCATGTCTGCGTCGAACTCATGGCGTGCCTCCCCCCGCTTCTTGGTCACTTCTAGCTGAATATTGAGCTTGTGCACGAGATTGTCTGCAGCCTGCACGGCTCGAACACGCCGTTGCCTCCTGGCTGCCGTGCGACACGCAGTCCCTGTCTTCCGCCACATGTAAGGGCGAGCCCCGCAGCCATCGGACATCTCTCCAGATCCAGGTACCATGAGATAATCACATCTTGTCAAGATGTTGGGGAGACGCGGCATGAGCCAAAATGGCTACGGATTCCTCCTCCTCCTCCTCCTCCTCTCCGATCCTCCTCCACGATCCTTCTCCTCGTCCTCCCCTCCTCATCCTCCTCCTCCTCCTCCTCCTCCTCCTCCTCCTCTTCCTCCTCCCCGATCCTCCTCCCCTCCTCCTCCTCCTCCTCCTCCCCTCCTCCTCGTCCTCCTCCTCCCTTCTCCCTCCTCCTCCTCCTCCCGGATCCTCGAAGGTAGAAAAGAAATGTGCCGTTCCTGCACCCCCTCTGGTCGAGGCCTCCTAAGATGGGGCCCGAGGAGATGGGGTCGGGGGATTGAAAGATCGCGCCCGCGGAACACTCCCAAGGGGCGGGGGGGGTACCCCCTCAGCTACCCCCCCTTGGACGACCTCCCCTGCCCGGGTCCCCCCCTCCCCCCCCCCTTTCTGTCCGCCCCTCGGAAGCCACCCCCTCCCTCACCCCCTTAAGCGCTCCAGAAGCTACACCCTGCGAAATGCTTAAGAAATCATGGGTTAAGAAATTCATAGTCTCAGAGTTTGAAATAAAACCCAGAATGTCTATTCAAATCTTAGGATTTCCATTGAAACATTAAGAATGATCGAGACTCTGGCCGAAAACTTAAGTTTTCTTAAGCATCGCCCAAGGTGTACCCCATCCCTCCCCTCCTTTCCTAAGGGGGGGGGCCCTCAACTACACCCGCCCCTTTGAACCTCCCCTGCCGGAAGCCCCCTCCTGGCCTCCCCCCTTCTGGCTAATGGCAGGAGCGGCGCCGAAGGCCCCCAAAGGCTTCGAAAACCGGCAAGAACCACCGACAACCGAAAGAGCGCCAAGGACCAGAAGCGCGCCGAAAACGGAGATCAGCACAGAAGACCAACGACACGCCGAAAAACCGAGGGTGCAAACAAAAAACCAACGAGGGCGCCGAAAGCCATAGGAGCGCCGAGGACCAAGGGAGCGCCGAGAACCACGGGAGCGCCGAGAACCCGAGGAGCACCGAACACCGAAGGGGCGCCGAAATCCAAAGCGGAGCCGAACACAAAGGAGAATCAGAAACCAATAGGGCGCCAAAAACCAACGAGGCGCCGAAAACCAAAGGGTGCGCAGAAAACCAAAAGGGGCGCCGACAACCGAGGAAGCGCCCAGAACCAAAGAACCGCCGAAAACCAAGGAAACGCCGAAACCAACACGGCGCGGAAAACCACACGGACGCCGAAAACACAAGAAGAGCCGCAAACTGAAAGGGCGCCAAAAAGTAAAAGGGCGCCGAAAAGCAAAAGGACCCGAAGCCAAAGAACGCCGAAGTCCAAAGAAGCGCCGACAACCCAAAAAGGCTCCGAAAACCAGTCGGGCGCCGACAACCAAAGATGCACCGAAAACCAAGAAGGAGTACTGAAAACAAGAGCAGCGCCGAAAACCGACAGGGGCACCAACAACCAAAGGGGCGCCGAACTTCAAAAGAACTCCGAAAACCAAAGGGGTGCCGAAAACCAATAGGGCGACGAAAACAAGAAGGGCAACAAACACTCAAAGGGCACCATACGAACGCCGAAAACCAAAGTGTCGCCGAAATCCAATATGGCACAAACAACCAGTGCCTAAAAGCAAAAGGGCGCTGAAATCCGAAAGGGCGCCGAAAACCCAGGGAGCGCCGAAAATCAAAGGAGCGCCGGAAACGATCAGGGCGCCGAAACCCACAAGAGCGCCGAAAATCGAACGGGCGCCGCAAATCAAAGAAGCGTCGAAAACCAAGAGGGCGCGGACAACCAAATGGGGGACGAGCAAAGATACGCCGTACACAAAACGGGGCGCCGAAAACCAAACATACGCGGCAAACCGAAAGGGCGCCGAACACCAAAAGGAACGCCGAAAACGAACAGGGCGCGGGACACAACAGGAGCTCCAAAGACAAACGGGGCGCCGAACTGATTAGGGCGCCGAAAACCAAACGGCGCCGAAAACCAGCGATGCGCGGAAAACCAAAGGACGCGACGAAGAATCAAACGGAGTGCCGATAACCAAATGGCGCAGAAAACCGAAGAGCGCCAACAATCAAATGCTCGCCGAAAGCCGAAGGGCGCCGAATACCAAAGGGGCGCCACAAACCAAAGAGCGAAACCCAACGGGCAACCGAAAACCAACAGGGCGCCGAAGACCAGAAGCGCGCCGAAAACAAGGAACGCCTAAATCCGTAAGGGCGCCGAAAACCAAAAGAGTGCCGAAAAACAGAGGAGCGCCGAACACCAAAACGGCGCCGAAAACCAAAACGGCGCTGAAAACCAAAAGGACGCCGAAAACCACAGAAGCGCCGCAAACCAAAAGATCGGCGAAAAGCACAGGGAAGCTGAAAACCAACGATGCGCCGGAAACCGAACAAAAAATAACGAACTCCAAAGAGGCGCCGAAAACCAAAAACTGCTCCGAAAACCAGCGGGGCGCCGACAACGACAGA